CCCAGGTGCAGGACCTTGCACATGGACTTGTTGAGGAGTCCAGGGATATGTCCCAGCTTTTCAGACAGAGAAAACATTTAAGGATCTGAAATTAGCTTTGCATTGCTTTTGGAAAACAGATCCTGCTTCTAACCATCATGTTGTAAAGATATTGCTGTTTACAATCAACCCCAGGTTTCGTGTTTGTTTTGTGAACTAAATTTTGGGTTTGGGTTTTTTTTTTCTGTGTGTCTGAAAGGTGATGCTTGGCTAGAAACTGACTTCAAAACATGATTCAATACATTTGCCTTGGGTTTTGAATAGTTTGTGCCAACTTTTGGTATGGGGGGAAGGGTGGAAATTTGGAAGTGTCCCAAGGCCCATGAGGAACTCATCTTTTTAAATAACAACAACAAGAACTGCTCTAAAACATTTTCCATGTCCAACACAACTCTATTCTGTATTCATTATCTTTTTGAACATTACAGCTGTCTTCTTGTTCTATAGCATTGTTTTAAAACACTAAGTATCACCAGCCACATGCCTAACTGGCTGTGTGTTACAATGTTGAGTTCTAAATGCATGAGATCTGTTGGGGTGGGGGTCTCTTTAATTGTCCTTGTAGCATTTCCTCTGATATTGTTGAAACTCACAGGGGAGCTGACTGTGCTGTGTGTGTTTGCACATTGTGATGTTTGCCTCCTGATTCAGCAAGATTTTTTCTGCCTGGTCCCCACTAGATGACCTTAAAACAATAACCCATCTGTAGCTGGGAGCGTGACTTTTTGATGAAGCAGCCAACCACAGAAGACAGTGAGAGTCAGAAAGATGGTGTGGGTAGCTCCTTTCACTGTTTCTATCAGTGTTCTGTCCTTTTATTTTTTGAAATTATAGATATGTAGAATCTGTAAGTGTCCTAAGTGTGGAATGAGGATGCTGACATCGTTAGTATGTGCTTTGTTGCAGATGTTGCAGCGCGCTAAGAAATTACAGCTTTGCAAAAGTCATTTTGCTTTTCTTAGTATATAGTTTGTGAGAGAAATTTAACGAAGCCATTTTCCCTTTTCATCACTTTGTACCCTATTGTTTCAAGGCAAAAGCTTTGTGCCAGCATTGTATAAGTGGATACAACTTTAACTCATTGCTGCTTGCCAGTATTTCTGATGTGCATAGATGGGTGTCAGCTGTCTGGATTTGCACCCAGATCACTGTTAGGATGATTTGACGGAAACTAAGTCAGGCTGGATTCTTGGTGTCCTCACTTGTTTATTATTGTAATTATGGGAGGTGACTGAAAGCTTATCTTTGTTATTGTTACTTGTTTAACAGTATCATCACTGGGGGAAGAAAGTATCAAATTTTAAGACCAGCACTAGTTATTGTAACAAGGTTTGGAAGAAAGTGGATTTTGTTACTGGAAAAGCAAGAGGTTTAGGACTGTATTTTGCATATTAGAATCACCTTTTCATGATACATGAAACTTTGTAGATAAACCAGTACCTCTTAATGCTAGTGAGTACGTTTATTCTCCCTAGGAAGAGTGAAACCCTGCTAAGCGCTACAACTATTTTGGTCCCTGTTACACTTGCCTGGAGAGGTAATTATTGTGTATCTTGCAGCCCAGTTTAATGGAAGTGAGAAACGGCAAGCATCTCCTTCTTTCTCAAATGACCAGCACAGGCAGTTAAGAGCACCTGGAGGAGGCTTTAAAACCATCAGACATGGCAGTCCAGAATTTTATGGGATCCTGGGAGAGAGAATAGATCCAACTATTCAACTGGAAAAGCAGATGTAAGTAAGCTCAGTAATTGCTCTCTAGCTTTTTGCCTCCCCTCTTACAGGAGTAGCAAATGACTCAGGTACTGCTGTCCAGCTTCCACTCCTCAGTATCCCCTTTATTTGTGCTGACAAGAAACCTATCCTTATTAATCCTGCAGAGGTTAACTAACTTTCGTGAGAGAAAAAGTAGAGTAAAACAGGAAACTCATCGTAGGAAAAGTGAAATTTATCTGCCAAGTACGTGCAGTTATTCCACTTGCAACTATGCTGATTACACTGCATTAGGGAAAATAGGCGTTTATCACATATATATAAATTGTGCTTTAAAGCTGCACAGATTTCATGTTTGTGGAGGCATAGCATGTTTCTGGTACCCCAAATGTGCTTCACATCTGCCTGTAATACTGCTCCGAGGCAGACTGATAAGACCACTTACAAAGTTTTCAAAACAGAGACTGTTATTTATTTCTACTCCTGGTGGTGTAAAACTTGAAGGTGGTATTTAGAGGCAGTTTTGTCAGTTCCAAACTGAAGTTCTGGAGGAATTCCCTGGAGTGAATGTCTAGTATCCCTAAGGGTGGCCTCTGTCCTGCTTCGTTGTTCTTTGAACCATTTGGACAGACTGGCTTGTGTGATGTAACGACCCACTGTCCTGTATCATACCAAAGGTGCAGCTTCATAGAAAGGCCAGAATCCTCTGTTACACACAAAAAATAAAAATCTTCTTGTAGAGCAATTTACACATGTAACATTGAGATTTGTTAGCACTAAGAAGCAAATGAATTCACACAGAAAAGTAAGAAAGCTGTGTCTTGAATCCCTTAAGGCAGACGTACTGCAGACACTGCCATTATAAGTTAGACGTAGAATTTTTTTTTTTTTTTTGTCACAGGAGAGGAAGGGCATAATTTAGCATGAATGTGAGTGTTGTTTTTGTGAGAATACTTTGTTCCTGAATGGCACCAGTATTGGAAGGGTTAGCAAGCCTTTTGGACTTCAGACCCTCAGTGAGAGAGAGTCCCTCTGTCAGTTGTGTCTGAGAGACTATAGTTCCATAAATTCCATTTTCTTTGACATTCTATTTTTACATACAGTATTTGGAAATTTAAGCTTGAAACAGAGAATAGTATCATCCACCTGGTGTCACATGCCATTTAATCAAACTCAGCCTTTGAACTTTCTGCTCTTTGACAGATTGTAGACTTAACTCCAAGAGAAGGCATAGCAACCACTGGTTGTGAAATCACTCACTGGTACCATTAGGTAAATGACTAAAAGGCTATGAATTTGACTGTAAGATTTGGTCCTCAGATTTGAGTAGTTCCAGCCCACCATACCCCCATAAGTGTATTTTAAATACTGCAGGAAGTTGAGCATTTGTTAATTAACTTTTGACTCATAAAAATATTGTGGTGTAGTTCTCTCTTTTAGTATAACTGCAGTTGATAATAACAGCTGAAAACTGCAGGGCTAGTTTTGTTTCTTTTAATTATTCAAGTGTTAATCACATGAGATTCTTTCTGATTCTTCATTATTCAGGATCAAACCTGATTATTCAGGAAATGAATGCATAGTTAACAATGTGTCAGAAAATTGAAGAATTCAGATTTATTGTACCTTAGGTTATTCATGAACATTCGAACTTCTAAAGTTTTAGTAGTGTGGGACCTCTCTACAGCCCATGCCAAGCCATTCATTCCATCTTTCTGTACTAAAATGGAGTGTTTTTGTAGAAAGAAGTACAAGATCTAGAGGAAGGGAAGCATGGAAGTTAACAAGTGGATAGGTGGGTTAGGGAGTTTCCCAAACAGAAAGCTATGATTGTGATTAAGGAATCTATAACTGTGAACGGAATGAATTTGTACCATTTCCTCAATAACGGTGAAAAGACAAAAACGTGTTCTGCTGTTTCCAATGTCTTATTGGAAGTGAATCCCTCCCAGCTTTCATACAAAATCTCGTGACTTCCTGTTTTGCTCTGGCCAATTCAGAAACAGGATAGTGTTGTGCACTAATTGATGCAGCTGTCCTGTCTTCAGTGGAGCTGTGGCTACTTAGTGGCTGAAACCATTCAGAAAGTAAGGGATATCAGGAAGAATGTTTTATAAACCACAATCAGGATCAATCCTGGAAGGAGATCCTCATAAAGGTCAAAGTGTGTGATTATATTTGAATTTTGCTTTCAAGTTTGCGTGCTGTGCCTATGTTTTCCAGGATATCATAGAAGACGTGCATGTCTTCAGGTTTTTATGTCCCATGCCTTTGCATTGGTATCTTTCAGGGATTGTCATTTCACTATTTTGGAATCACATCATTAACATTTGAATCTTTGACCTTCCTGCAAAATACCTGTATATTGACATCTAAAAAATAAACAGAGGTGGGGCAAACAGACCCAATACAGTTGAAACAGCAAATCATTCAGGAACTTTAAGCAGATTGTAGGACTATGCTTATCTCAATAGCTAGCTGGGACAGGAGCAATCTGAGTGTTCCATTTACATGGGCATATAATTCACAAGCAATTACACTTCTGCATACTGCTGTTTACACTCAGTTATATCCAAAACAGCTTCCAGGCATAATTTCTGAATCAGATGTTCTCCCATCAGCAGCTGTCTTCATACTTCGCTATTTTACTTCTAACTGCTTTAAAAGCAAGTTTTGCTTCCTCGAACCAGCCCTGCATTCTATTTCCATGAACCTCTCTGTCATCTGAGGAGCACCAGATCTGAAGAATATGTGGAATACTCTACTCTGAATATCACAGTCCAGTGTATCTCCCTGGTTTTGGCTAGGTCACATTTTATTTTGGTTTTATTTGGCCAGAAGAAATATTTAGAGCTAATAGGAATAATTTTTAGACTGTCAAATCCATTTTCTGACTTTACACTCAGAAGACAACCTAGTCTTTGAATTGCTTGCCGTCCTTCAGCAATAAATATCTAATGTGGGATAGGGAGAACACTACCTGGAAACATTCACATCTGTGCCTCAATTTTATTTGTGAAGTGATGGAGTTGTCTTGAATATATAATAGTATAGCACTCTTTTAGCTTACTCTAATGCAGACTTTGGTTGTAACCAGGCACAAACTGAATTTTGTATTTGAGCACCAACTTTTGTTTAGTACATTCTTCAGATTTGACAATGGAGTTGACATCAGCACAAAGTGGTTAAGAGCATGACTTCTGTCAAAGGGGTCTGTCTGGTCTTTAATCACTTACCTTTCAGTTGCAACATCTCCCTTAGAGTAAGTCCAGGAAAGAAATAAAATTAGAATAAATGGAAGGAAACTTTTTTGCATAAGGCCTGTGACAGTTCCTGGTAATAACAGAAAGAGAGCACTTCTCGTGTATGCATTATGCTGCTTATGCAGGCATGATAGTCTCACATTGTGCTTCAAAGTGCATCTGGCAGTTGCAGGAAGGAAGAGATCATCCTCAAAGATTCAGTTGACCTAGTGCAGGGCTAGACACATTACATCACTTGGGAAACTTGGGAGAAGGGGAGAAGGGTCAAAGCATTTATTACTGAACTGTGAGATTTTTAATTGCTCATACAGAGCAGCATGAGGAAGTTCTTCTTCTTTTTCTTTTTCTTTTTTTTTTCCAGTGATCAGTCTAGTGAAGGACCCAGCGCTACTCTCCCCATTTCCTTTCTTCCCTGAATTGATCACACCCACTCTAGAGGTCCATCAAGGATTTACTTAAAGTACTCTGAGTTGTTACAGCTGTGTTTAGAACAGATGCCTTTGTTTTATTTTTTTCACATTTTATCACTTTACTTCTGTCTGAGAGATTTATTTTAGCAATTTTTTTCCATTATTAACATGCATGTTCTTCAGATGTGATTTTCTTTTTGTTTACTTTTGATGTTTTCTTTTTCTCTTTTGTATATTAGTTGAAATAATGATACATCACGGGGAGGAAATAAAGTGGGTATTGTGGGTATACTGCTTGCAAGATAGAGATTATAATGTGTTGCTCTGAGTGTGATTTACTTGCATAAATATGTACGCCAATCCTCTTGCATGCTTTCCTGATATAAGATTCTTCTTCAGCTGACAGGAACTACAGGCCTAGTGAAGTTGTAAAGTTAACTTTAGATAATGCAAGCAATGTGCCTTTTATCCGTAATATGTTGGATCTTAAAGATATCCATGTGATATTAACCATTATTCCTACCTTAAAGAAACAAAGTAGTAAAAGGAATATGAGTTGGAATATGTGTGTGTATTAATCTCTGCTTTTTCCTAGATGGTATCATGGAGCAATCAGTCGGACAGATGCAGAGAACCTGTTACGTTTATGTAAAGAGTGTAGCTACCTTGTAAGAAATAGTCAAACAAGCAAGCATGACTATTCTCTTTCACTGAAGTAAGTACTTGTAAGTAAAACATAATAAATGTAAATATAAGACATAATATCCATAATCTGGTGCAAGAAGAGAAAATGATCCAGTCTGTTGCTACACTAGTTCAGCTCGCACAAACACCCAGAGTCTGAGACTGTCAATCTGCATGATGTATAGTAACAATCACTGAATTAGGACCTTACAGCCTGGGGATGTTAAGAGATTTTCAGTCTTCATTTGGTGTCCATTTAACTAAATAAACTTGGATTTTTTTTTTCTGGTTCTGACTTGAAATGCTCCTGCTGCTTCTGCTTCAGGCAGAATAAGCAACTGTATTGTTTAGGAATTTTACTCCTTTTGCTTCCTATATGGAAGGAAGGCTTCATGTGATTTACTGTGGTAGAGGCATACAGTATCGCTACAGTTCTTGAAAGTAAAAAATGCAGTTTCAAGGATGAAAGATCTACAGATTTAAGAAATGAGCATTGTTCCATTCTCAGTGCTGCTCTGAACTTGCCACACCCACATTCGGCTGATGAGGGTACATTACAGATGTTGACGTCAACATACCGTAGAACAGAATCACTGAATTGTTTGGGTTGGAATAGTCCTTCAAAGTTCATCTAGATTTACCCTTCAGCCGTGGGCAGGGACACTTGCATTTCCAGCAGAGGGAAAGGTTCCAGGTTTTCTGTGCGGGAGAACAGGAAGCCCCTTGACCTTGGTATGGGCTGTACAAGTGCAAAGAGAATTGTTTCTTTTCTTTCTGTCTTACAGAATGGGGTCTGATGTGGCATCTGCCCTTCCAAGTAGATCTGGGACACAGACCTACTTGCCTTTTGTACTAGCATTACCCCTGCCAGTTTGGCTTTTACATGATTTCTTCATAGGTCTGTTTTGGAGACACATTTTACTGCTGAGATGGTGATGATACTTGATGGTAACAAGGTAACACTTTCTTAGACAGCACCAAACCTAATCCTTTTTACATTTGTATGTTCATTAAAAATACAGGGCGTATCTACTCTACCCTGGTTTAGTCTGATGGTCTAAACAGTAAATTTCAGATTGTTTTTTTAATACCACTTTGGGTTGAGTAGAAGTGCATCCGTTAACCTAGTTTTAAAATTCTGTTCTTAGGCTTAAGAAAAATATTTTGTAGGACTATTTTTTAAATCATGATTTCTTTGCTATTATTGTTGGGATCTCTCTGTAATACAGGGGTCTGTCTTGGACTGGAACACACCTGCTGTTCAGCTCCTGTTGTCCTTTTGTCATTTGATCCGTGTATTCTCTGATGTAGTAGTCCTCTAGATATTTTCAAACACTGAAGAGTTAATGACACATGCTTCAGATATATGGAGGTAGATATATGTAGGTTTAAATTTTCCCTTAAATTCTTGTAAGTCTTGGAATACAACTTTTGTTTTTAAGTATTTAGCTCAATTCTTCCATCAGCACAGTGGTTTCTGTTATTCGACCAGAGCACAACTTCGAGAGAAAATAGTGACTATTAAATTTATATTTTGCTTTTTTGGACACTGGGATTCAGGTCCTTAATATCCTTTTGCATGTTGTATTCCAAAGTTTTCTAAACCAGATTTCCTGGTAGTATGTATTTTAAGTCTCCCCATAACTTGCTCTGTGGGTAAATGACTGACCTCCTCCAGTCTGTGTTTTCTGGAGCACAAGATTCTTTCACTACTTCTCAGCTCTCTGCCATACATTTGTCAAAACTAGTGCTGACTCTGGCCTCTTGATTCAGCCTATTTATTCTCTATCCCACTCCCTGTGATGATGATTGCTCTCCTATGGCACTCTGTTGGGTTGGGTTTGTGTGGTGGGTGTTCTGGTAGTGGGGGAAGGTCCACAGGGATGACTCCTGTGAGAAGCTTCTAGAAGCTCCCCCCTGGTTTCAAATTGGTCTCACTTCTGACCATGGCCAAGCCAAATCTGTGCCTCTGCGAATTAACATATTTAAGAGGGGATAACACAAAAGAGGCGAATTAACATATTTAAGAGTGGATAACACAAAAGTGAAGCAGCACCGGAAACAGAGGAGAGAGAATCAGCATGGAGAGAGGAGTGGGATGTGAGGGAGACATTAAGGCAGACATCAAAAGTCAGTGAAGGGAGGAGGTGCACCACAGCAGAGGTTCTCCTGCAGCCCATGGTGAGATGACAGGCTGTCCACTGCAACTGTGGAGGGTCCTGGTGGCGTATAGACAACAACTTGTACCTTGAGAGGGACCCAGCACCAGAGAAAGTAGCTGTGGTAAGCCCATGCTGTGGCAGGCTGCTCCTGGAGGACTGCACCCTGTTTTATTTCACGGGTGTATTTATGTTTTGTGAAATGAAAAGCACTGGCTGCTGAACATCTGGTGTCACTCTATAAAGGCACATAGTACTTATGGTGGATACTTGTTAATAAAGCTATAGCATGAAATTAAGTCTGACCAGCCATGGGTAATTTCACAGAATCGGCAACGGTTTAGGTTGGAAGGGACCTTAAGGATCATCTAGTTCCAACCCCCCTGCCATGGGCAGGGACACCTTCCACTAGACCAGCTTGCTCAAAGCCTCATCCAGTCTGGCAATTTATTCTTGTCATAAACTTGCAACCTTCTCAGTTGTTTCATTAACCTAGAATAACTGCACTAGGATATGGTTCTTGAATCCTAGCTCTAGAGTTGGTGGATACTACAGTGGAAAAAATTAACAGCTCTTCTCTGTGAGTAATTCCTGAGTGTCCACGCTGGTTGGACTCTGTTTCCTGCTTCTGCTGAAATTTGCCCTAGGTTCTTGTCATACATCCTGCTCTGACACAGTCTTTACAGTGTCCCTATTTAGCACACACTGTGTGGCCTGTGTTTCCGTGGAATGACATCTCTGGGAGCACTCTGTGACACTAATGTTAGAGACAGCAGGCACATGCTGATATGCAATTACTGGCTTTGAATCTGACTGTAGTTTTAACTGTCATGATTTCAACAAATTTCTTGATACAAAAATTGAAGGTGACAAGACATAGTAGGGAATCAAGGCAGTAGCCTCAAGCCCCACGTATCATGATTCTGTTCTAGTCATTGTGTCCTGTGGGAGTGGCTCCCAAGTGTTTGATACTTGTTTCTTAGAGGCCTTTTTGATTAGAGGCATACTGCCCCCATTTTCCAAAAACTGCTCGATTGTCCATGCTTCTGGTAAAATTACAGTAACTTCTATTTGGTTTTTTTTATTGTATAAACTGCTTGCTGGATAACATGTTACTCTCCACACCTTACTACTTACTTCTCTCCTCTTGTCAGTGCGTTTTCCTTCCCTTGAAAATTAACGGGTGCCCTGATTGCCAGCCCTGTGGTGATATGTTCTGCAGGAAAGACTAGGACCTTTATTGCTAGTTATATTTATAGCTCTCTCTCCTGTAATGGATCAGTGAATCTCTATTTGGCTTGCTGCTAGGTCCACAGTAATAATAGGTATTTGTCACAGCCAGTAAGTCTCCTTGTGCCCCATGGCTACCCTGTAAGTGTATTCCAGCAAGAGTTGCATGTTCAGGCACTTTCCTTATGCCTCCATCTCATAATTTAATCCCATCTCTTCAGTGCGTTGATTCAAAAAACGTATAGCATGGCAACAGAAGCAGGCTGTTGACTGAGCTCTGACCTTGTGAATTGAAATGCCAGAATGATCTCAGGAGTGCCTCAATGCTGCTTATTATCCCATGGGACCCTAAAGGTCTCTATATCAGGTGCTATGCAGCCTGACCTGCTCCAAGTTATAGTAGGCCCAAGTGTTTCTGTCCTCAGGCTCTCCACAGTACTTTGCCAGAGACCACTGTGTGCCACACAGCAGATATTAAGTAGTCTGGAGAAGCAAAAGAGGACCAGCGGCATTTACTCTTTGACAGAAATGAAGGGCTACTATCCCTAGCTATTTCCAATTCCCCCTCTATTAGAAACCTGTCTTTCCCTTGCACCTGCATGCTTGGTTCTTTCTGTCAGTTCCAGGAGATGTGCTGGTACAATGGAAACTAGAGACAATGTGTTTCCCATGGGCTGTTGCACAGTGCTGTGAAAGGCCTGTGGAGCAAGGTTGTTCTGAAAACCTTTGCCTGGGACAAATTCATTAGGGTTCTGTTTGATTTCCATTAAAGCATGTAGCTCCTATTGGCTTGTTGGAACCAAAGGGAGGAGACTAGGGTTTTGGACCACTGCTGCTGTTGTATGTCCTTGTGCTGATGTGCCTGTTCTTGTAGTAAGTTACCTGTGATTCACAAGAACACATCCTTGACTGCATTCCTTGCCAGAAGCAAGAGAGGAGGAGAACAAAGGCTTCCTAAGAACATCTGAAATAAAAATATTTACTGGATTTCAACCATAACAACTTTCAGCTTACCCACCTCTGTCAAATCGCCATGCAACTTTCTGCCTGAGTTGTTCCTAAGAACATTCCTCCTACTCATTAGGTAGGAGAATTGCCCAGGTAGAGCACCAAGTCCTCTATCAGCTGCCTGGTCTCATGGCAGACTGAGACCTTAAGGCCTGTACATATGTTGGTCGTGTGAAAACCAGCTCCCTCAGAATAGAATGTTGTTGAACATGTAAAAGCAGGTGGAGTTGTCTTGACCTCCACATCAGAGGCTGGAAGACTGTCTAAAGTGTAGAAAGGAGGGGAGTACTACCCCACCGCTAGGCATAGTAAACCATGTAAAACCTGTTGATGTAAGGCAGATGTTCAGCCACCAAACTGAAGGGGTTCATGTTACAAGAGAATGAGCATTTATACTACATTTGCATCTCCCAGAGTCCAGCTTTGTTGGATATTTTCTTCAGGAACACTAGAGCCACTTCTGGGTGCCCCCTTAAGGCCTCTTTCCCAATTCAGCTATGTTGAAATGGAAATTCAGGCAGCAGCAATGGACACGGGTCTCTGCTGGGACTGTACTTTGAACACTGGAAAGCAGTGCTGTGAGGCTACTGTGATGAGCCATCCAGGGTTGCTCTGACAGTGTATTGAACTAGAGCCGTGAAGTGATTATTGACTTTGTTCATGGATATCTATTCAAGTGTGATGTCTTGCTGTTCCTTTTTTCAAATGTAATTAATTTGCGGAGAGATTGTTTCACTGTTTAGATACATTGATTAAAAATTATGACTGGCTGCAGAAACCTTAATGAAATACTTTCAAATGACTGTTGTCACCTTTCACTTGTTATTTAATGTGTTCTGAAAAACACTCAGGTGTCTGTAGCCAGCATCTTCCCATTAGGCCGAGCATTCTGGCTGTGTATTTTTTACTTTTTTACATGTGTTTGTTTAGCTGCTGCAAAAGTGGCAGGCCTGAGAAGCTGTGATTAATGACAACAACAGTGTTGCTTCTGCAGTGTTTTGTGCAGTACATGAGCTACGAGCTTCTCACAGCAATTTGTGAGCAGAGAACACACTAACATCACTGGTGGGAAAACAGATGCCAGCACCCTTTTTGGTGTTTTATCTGGGGGATGGGGGTCTGCTTTATCCCCCTGCCCCAACAATTAATGAAGCCTATTTCTACTGTATCCTTGAACTGATACTTTTGCATCTTTACCATTATAATATGTAGACAGTCAAAACAGGAGAGCTCCAGAAGCCAGGTGTGGTACTAATATGTTGCATGAGCAGGAGGATGAGGTCAGAGAAGTGATGACCTCCCTGGGATCAGGCAGTGGATCAGCAACAGGAACAGAAGCAAGATGTTTTTATGGATGGTCTGTGATCTATGAAATGTGAAAAGGTAGTTAATCTCTAGCTGAAGGAAAATGAGATAGTTGACATATATTGCAGCCTGTGATAGGGATAGGTAAGGGGCAGGGAGAATATAGAATCATAGAATCTTTTAGGTTGGAAAGGATTTCAAAGATTATCAAGTCCAACCATTAACTGCCAAGTCCACCGCTAAACCATGTCCCTAAGTGCCACGTCTACACATCTTTTAAATACCTCCAGCTATGGTGACTCTACCACTTCTCTGGCAGCCTGTTCCAGTGCTTGGTAACCCTTTCAGTAAAGAATTTTTTCCTAATACCGAATCTAAAGCCACACTGGTCCAATTTGAGGCTGTTTCCTCTCATCCTCTCACTTGTTGCTTGGGAAAAGAGACTGAAATCCACCTTGTTACAACATCCTTTCAGGTACCTGTAGAGAGCAATATTGTCTCCCCTCAGTCTTCTTTTTTCCAGTCTAAACAACCCCAGTTCTGTCAGCCGTTCTTCGTAAGACTTGTGCTCTAGACCCTTCACCAGCTTTGTTGCGCTTCTCTGGACACGCTCCAGCACCTCAATGTTTTTCTTGTAGTGAGGGGCCCAGAACTGAACACAGGATTCAAGGTGTCATCTCACCGCTGCTGGAGTTCAAAGCACTTCCCTAGTCCTGCTGGCCACACTGTTTACTGTTTATATCTGTATACTCACGAGAGATGACATGAAATAAAGGGGCGCACATATTGAACTATTTGTGAGGGAGAGATAACACCTATGAAAAATACTGTGGAAAAGTTGAATTTACACAAACCTGCACAGGCACATGAATGAATTTACAGTTCCCTGCTATTCTGTGTGAAGCACTTGATTGTAAATTGTCCTTTAATCCATGTTGAAAGCAAACTCTGCAGTGAATGTGTATGATTTTATGCTTATATATATGTGGGTTGACTGGAAAAAGGCAGTGAAGTCCAGTGTTAAGTTCTGGCACTGTGCTACTAGTGCTGTCATTGCAAAATGTGAAGAAATTGTTGGCACATTCTGGGACAAATACTAAAATGGTCACAAACATCATATACTGTAAGCTCAATGACAATGTATTACCCAAACCTAAGTACATACATAGGTCCTTATTAGGGAAGCAACAGCTGTTTATCATGAATACATGGCTTGTAGCAGTTTGTTTACATTATATGTATTTGCTTTCTGTTTTAAAAACTGCATGTGTTCTTGCCCTTTCTGCATGAAAGTGCACTTGGCAGATTGTTCTCCAGTTCTTGCTATACTCCTGAATTTAACATTCACTTGCAACTCCATTAATTTATCTGCACACTTTTAAGGCATTTTGTAGCAAGCAGATGCATAGTGAACTGAAGGAAGGGAGTCCTTCAGTCCAACTGTCCTCATAATAATATATTTAAAGAAATCACCCTTGTTTAAAGGAAATAATTCAGAGAGCACTTACAATTAGAGATTTTGTCTGCTAAGAAATTGCTATTTAAAGCAAGATTTAAGTGTGTAGAGCTGTAACTACAGTGCCTGCAGTGTTTTCTGCTCACCAGAAAGGGTCACTTCTTCAGAGAATTGTTGAACACACCTGAAAGATAAGAGCTTGATCTGAGTGAGGCTCGTGGCCTGCCTATGTGTCTATGAAGAGAGCCTCAGGCCTCTGATAGCCCAAAACCAATAATACTTTTTGGTTCAGAAGTAATGATTGGCTGTAGTGAAATGTAAATGTTCACAGGAAAACACTGGGGGAAAGGCGAGGAGGGGCACAGGGGGACAGGAAAGGGGTTGTCGTCTCACACACCTGTGGATCAATACCAGGTTAAGATAGCCTTGCACCTGGATCCAGACAACAGAGGTGGTGAAAAAAAAATACTAGCTTAGACTGCCTTTGTGTTGGACTGTCCATGGGGGTTTGCAGCTAGCAGTCACTGTCTGACCGTCTTGGCGTGTCACCCAGCAACTACTTGCATCTGTTCTCCAACATTCTCCAGCATCACAAAGAACAGCCTTTTGTGATTCTACTCCCCTCTATCCGAGCATGAACTAATGATTTGCTTTCCGTGCAGGAGCAGTCAAGGTTTTATGCACATGAAACTGGTGAAAACCAAAGAGAAATACATCCTGGGTCAGAACAGCCCTCCCTTCGACAGCGTTCCTGAAGTCATCCACTACTACACCACAAGAAAACTGCCTATCAGAGGAGCAGAGCACTTGTCACTGCTCTACCCTGTGGCTGTACGGACTCTCTGATAACCAAGTCTCACCCTTTCTTGTGGACTGGGGGTGAGAGGTAAGCTGGGTTACACAGAATTAATCACCAGAATCCAGAGCTTGAGTCTGTGATGGAGAGTGGCAGCCTTTGGTCCTAAGGACATGGGTGTTCTGCACAGTTGTTTATGGGACTGGGTGTATGGTACTCTTATGCTGCAGCATGACTCTAGAACTGTGCTTCTACGTAAGAGAAAGACATTCTATTTTAGTGCAAGAACAGATAACCTTCCCAGCGCTTCTCTGTGAATCAAAGTACTTCCCAATGAAAGTTCTTCCTCCGTGTTTTGGGAGGAACCAACAAATTCTTCTCCACGGTAAAACATCAGCAACTTTTAATCTCTTGCTACTCTGAGAAACTTCTCCATGTGAAAGAGTAACATGACCCTGAGGGACCCTAGGGTGTTCTTGATGGACCTGAGAAGGAACTTGCTTAGCATGCAAGTCCCTCTGGCTCTGGTCACTTAGCTTAGTGGGTTTTGGGTTTTTTAATGCAGTTTCTTGGGGTAGCCAAATGTTGGAATTCTTATTAGACACACAATCTTAAAATAATTTTGTGAGAGCAGATCATGGCCAATTATTTATGGATAGAGAAAATAATTTAAAAGTAGTTTGTTATGTATTTTTATCTTTTTTGGTACAATAATATCTTAAGGGTGACTGTTTTCATTTGCAAGTTTCATACATAGATACGGGCAGTTAATTATGTTTGGAGCAGTTACCATAATGTTTTAAGTAGTTGAGAATGAGTCATTTTAATATGTGGGTTAGTATTTATGCATGAGGGTGGTCAAAGGCTTTTATAAAGTTCTAGTAGGCAAAATCTTCACTTCCTCATTCGTCTGGATCAAGCAGATGTCGTACTGAGATAGCAAACTAGCAAGTGTGTTTCATTGTCTTTCCATAAGATGGCTTTTGCAGCTCTGTTAATGAGAAGTGCAGTATGTAGCAAGGCAGAATTTGTTTTTCTGGTGTACCAAGGCATTCTTAAAACATGGTACCTTGACACATACCTTTTGGCCAGTGTTCAATTTAAACCATGAGCAGAAGTTTCCTGCTGTATTTCAGTCACTGTCAGCCAGAGGCACTGCAGAAGCTGCTCTGTATCTTAGTCCTGCTAGTTAGGTGCCCATCCACTTGAGAGATATTTTCTACACGCTCTTTTGTGATTGTCGAATGCAATAAGTGGAAAAAAAATATAATGGTGCAGAAATTGAAACTGGGGAATCAATAGCCTGGTAGTTATCACTTTGTGACATCTTCCATCTATGCCTAGAATGTTGTGCATTAACCCATCAGCTGTTGTAGTAGCAAACTGGTTATATGCATTTTATGTATTTTACAGACTGCAACAGAACTGTGAAATTGTATGTTATTTAATTCAGTTTTCTTATCTGCTATTCCCTTTTAGGTATGCTTTGAAAGAAGTGAAAGTCTGAAAATTGTAATGGAATAGCCACTTACTGCCTGTGAAAGTAGTATTGTCTAATGTGTTAAGAACTTCAAGGACATCCCATATAATGTCATCAGTGATGAATGTTCTGCTTCCTTTTAAACCTGACTTGTTCTTTATATGACACCCAACACGGTCTGAATGGCAATCGATCACACATATTTGAGGAGCCCAGTGTCATTCTGTGCAGCGACAGTAGTGGGTTAGACTGTCCCTATCTCACCCAGAATTTGAAGCCTCATTGGAATAGGTTCTTACTGGTTTTCTGAGGGAAGGGCAACACAGTGAAGTACAAAGAGACAACATTTCCTCTCCAAGTGAAACCAAATATCCCCTTTTTCATGTACTCACCTACATGTAATTTATTTCCCTAAAGTCTTTGCAGAACTCTTAATTTTCCTCTTAACATCATACAGTTGGCAAAAGCATAGAGGTACTTTCAAGTTAGCATATTTTCTCATCAGACTGAAGAAGTTGATTAAGGTATCAGAGCTCGCAGAAATTGGGAATCACCCGGTGTGGGCTCTGGAAACTCCGTCATGCCTCTTGGGACAGAAATATGTCATATTTCTTCTTTTGCATGTTGAAGTGCATTTTTGAGAATCTGACACTGTTGATGGTTTATGGCTTGGTTTTATTATTCTGTAATAGGAAAGTAAGCCCTTGCTCTTTCTAACAGCAGTTACCAGTAAAAACCAACAGCATTGTTAACCAAGGCCTTACCAGGCTTCCGTAAGCACATTGTCTTTATCTCATGGAGATAGATGTCTGTTATACCAAATCCTTCTTGTCATAGGCCTGATCGAAAGTCAGCTGAAGCCAGCAGGTGCCACTTTATTGCTATCTGCAAATTTTGAGTTGGGATCCCTTGCTTCATACAGATAAGGTCAGTATGCATCACACAAATGTTTATACAGGTTATCACAGCTTCAGGGATCATACCAGGGTTATTTGTTCAGCAAGAGGAAATCATCTCTGAAAAAGCTGGTTGTCTGTGAGAAGGGTTTTTTATTACTTTTTAAAAAGACTTTTAGAAAGTACTCAGTAATTGCAGAATAAATAAAACCAGGATTTTGTTTGCACTATAATGTTGTCTTTGTTTATTTAAGTAATTATATTATATTTTTCCAGTGAAGGTATATTCTTCCCAGACTCTTTAATGTACAGTGAAAATGTGGTGTATTGTAGTATTTTGTATAGGTGGAAGATCTCGTAGTGATCATGCCTATATATCACATTAAAAATTTATTTAAAAGAAAATTTTAAACTTCTTCCTTTTCTTCCTCTAATTATCAATGTGTACTCAGATTTTCTTGAACAGCTAGTATTTGAAGCGACCTTTCAGAAAAATTTGTCTTTGTATGCCTTAACTGCGCAGTAAAAGTAATCATCAGGCTATAATCTGGTTTGGAGCCTGGAAAATCGTATAGCTCAGTTCCGCCCTGAGTAATTCTCTTGACAATGTGCACCTTTACAAGGGCTGTGCCAAAACAACACAGTTGCATATGTGAATGACATTGCTGTCCTCTCCAATTTAGAAACAAGGATGTGGTGCAGGACAGTATCAAATGGATAAACCCTTCCCATTTTTCTGGACTGAAGGAACAACCCTTCCATCAGCTATGCATTGCAGTAAAATCACAAGGAAGACATAATTTATTCTGAACAGCAAAGACAGCTCAGAGCCAGACACCCCCCTATACTGTGGATGAGTGGCCATGTGAGGAGCTATGCTACTGTGACCTGGCAGTGCTCTCTGATAGGTGTGGAGTCAGCTAGGCATCACTCCTATCCAGGCCCAAAAGAGAAGCAATAATATGGCATTCCCACTTTATTGCAGATGGTCGCAGACTCACCTTTGCCATCTCCTTTGACTGCCTCTTGCATTGCCATGTCCTCTCTGAAGCAGTGCTGCCTAAAGAGCAGGAAAGGATGGGGAGAATGACCATACTCTTTCTGTTGGAGAGTCATAGTATTGGCCTTTGTGACAGGGATCTAGCTGTTTGGGAGGTTTCTGAGAAGGAAGGCTGTGCTGCACCTGTGGGATTTTCCCCACAACCAGGTGCTACAGCACTACAGACTAACAGTGGAAGAGAGGGTCACCCATGTGCCAAATGGGACATGCCAGGTAGCCAAGAGCCTAACCACCATTTTCAGTGAAGTCTAGTAGGCTACAAAGATACTATGGCATTGTCAAAGGCCTTACTGAAGTGTGTAGCATCTATTGTTCTCCCACTGTCCGGTCAGTCAAACATCTCATCATAGAGTGGTTTCCAAGGAAGACTTCCTCCATAAGCTTCCTGGAAACTGAAATGAGACTAGCTGGCCCATAGTTCCCCAGACCACATTCCTTGCCTTCTTGCACATGTGAGGCTTACTTTTTCCAGTCATCAGGATCCTACCCTGAAGCTGTCTTCCCGCAACCCCTGATATAGCTTATTAACTCACACTGAAGAACGAGTCCATAAAATTCTGTGACAGGTTAGAAGTTTAAGTATCTTAATATATATGCCTGTGAAATTCTGAAAAACAGTATGCTAAAATTAATCTGGAATTTTAGACAGCAGTTTTATGACTGTAAATACTCCATATGCAACGTAAGCAAAGAAATACTCTAAGGGAATAAGCAATACACATAAGATTCAAACTTTTTGTTATAAAAATTACTATATTTCTGTGGAAGTCAGTTTAAAATGGCTGAAGACTGGACAATATCTACATCTTTGGTAAGAGTTAACGGTTCATCCGCTTATTCATTAGTTTAACTTAGATAAACCCAGAATCCGAAGAAAACAGAGTCAGCACTTTTCCTTCCTCAGGTGTTTAGGTGTGCATCCACTATACACAGTCTATTTCTCCGTTATTTGTTTGCATTGCTAAAAGTCCTGTTGCCAAAAGGTCCATTCTGCTGTTGCAATTTTTAATGCAGGAGGTGGCTCCATGGTAGACTTGGACAATCAGGCCTAGGGCTGGTGTGTGACCCTGTGCTCACTCATCCCTCATTTGGCTCAGCTGACCCTTCCTGAACAAGGCACTGGTACTGATCTGATGAAGGATTGAGCTGCCTCAGAAAGGCAATTCAACCAAAAATCTCATCACCCCTTTTCTGATGAGTTTTCAGCAGAGACTTGTCACAACTAGCCCTCCTTACTCCAGCAGAACAAGAGAGGAGTGGGAACATGTGACAAAGGAAGGCGAGAGTGGGCTCTGACATATACAGCTTTGAGTAAATTAATTTGCAGTGGAGCCTTTCCATAGAATATATGGGAGAAGCTCTTCTGCCTGTGCAGCATGGTATGAACTAAATTTTGAAGTATCTATAGTAACAGCTACACAGATAATTTAGGATTTCTCCAGGTCTGTTACCAGAACAGTAAAAAGTAAAGCAAAAATGTACAACAGTGGAAAAGATGTAGTTTGAAGCAAGCTTTTCTTTCTGTTCCCCTATTCTTCAAATATGTGGGCATTTTTTCGTGGTATTCAGTTGGCGCACAAACAATTCACTTAGCCCTGATTTTTGTTTGGGAAT